GATCTACTTATTTAAAAGCTGTGTTTCACCAACACACATCTCCAGTAAAGACAAAAAATAAGGAATAGAAAACTATGGCAGAATCTGTAATATTTATATTTAGTTACGTTTCTTGTCCTTTGCATGTGTTGACCTTGATAAATTAGCTCAGGGCTTATTTCATGTGAATCACGAAATGCAGGGGCAGAGATATGAATTTAAACCAAAAGTATTAGGAAGCCAAGGAGGAGTTCTGAGTAAGGAATTAACACAGAAAAACAAAAATAGGTAAGAAGCACAATTTGCTGATCACAAATGATTACATAATTGTACAAACATTATTACAGAAACACATGTGGGATCTTCATTAATACTGGATAAACTAGTTAATATCAGTTGGCCGAACAGATGGGAGTCAATAAACATTTTAATTGAAAATTACAAGGGAAAATTACATTAGATTAGATCACACAAAAATGATGCCTTATTGGAAAGTTTCAAACAATGTCTATAGGACATTATATTTATCTGTGATAGGATAAATATTTAATATACATGATATGCAAACAGAAGAAGTACTAACTACACTGATATTTACATGAGAAGAGAATCCCATTGAAGGACTAAAGTTTTACAATAACCAGAGTGCTTTCTTATTAAGTTCATAAAAAGTCTGCTTCAGATGAAAGACTATGCCTTCCTTTAGGATAAAGACAATATTCTATATTCTCTAAGTCTAGTCAAGAGCCTGAGATATCCTAACCCTCAAGATATGATTGATGGATGGAGGAAAATGTTCAAAGAGTTCCAGAACTGTTAAATAAGCCACTGGTGCTTTTTGCAGGAATAAAATCTACTGACCACTGTATCTTTCACAACTTAAATTATGTCAATGCCACAATATTCAATTCAAAATAGTACTATACTAATAAAAGGCATAATAAGCCTAATTGACTTTAATCAAAAGAAAATGACGGAAGCAGTTGATACTTACATGCACACGATATAATGTAATGTGTCTAACATCTTCCAATGTCTTTTTTTTTTTTTTTTTTGTCTTTTTTCCGTGTCTGGCAATGGATCGCAACCCTCAGTGTCGCCCCCATACCGGACCAGACCGGCACACGGCAACAGGATCGCAACCCTCGGTGTTGCTCCCACAACTCGCTCAGCCAGTGAGCGGGAACCGGTCTGTACGTGGGATCCGAACCCTCGGTGGGAGCGCCGCCGCGCTTCCCAAGCGGCACACTAGCTCAGTGCACCACCGGGCCAGCCCAACATCTTCCAATTTCTTTTCAAGGCTTTGGGAATTTTGCTTTTGAAAGAATTACATAATTTGAATGTAAAGACTTCCTAAAATAGGAAATTTTCAACTATCTTTGCAAAGACAGGTAAAAATAAATAGTGACATTCAAATTATTGAAAAAAAAATGGCCAATTTCTAAGGACTCACACATTGGTAATATTTAAAGATTAAGTTCAAAACATCATTTGTGATATTCATTTATTAATATATTAATGAACACTGACAAGCTAACATAAATATTAAAGATTTTCTAGCACTTGCTAGAAAATTGATTTTAAGGGTTTCTGTTCGACCTCCTTTAGAAAGATTTAACAGATAAAAGAACACTCAAGTACTAGCAGGATTTATAGATGAAAGTTTTTTAAAAGCCATAAAAAGAACATTGAACATGAATTCAATACAGATAATCATGGGCCTGTCAGCTTTTCTATTGCAAACTTAATTTAAGAGGGTTTATCATCTCCATCATCTTAGAAACTCTGAAGCTGGAAGTTGGCACACAAATTAGCTTGCCTGGATGCAAATTTGTTTACACAAAACATTTGAATCAGTTCAGCTGTTTTGATTTAGATATCAGCCAAAACCCTTAAGTCTGGGTTTCTTCATATATGTGAACACTGAATAAATATTCTGTCTAGACTACATAGTTCAGTCACTTAGAGTACAGGGCCAATTAATCCAAGGTACTACGTGTTTCATCTCCAGGAGATTCAGTTGTTATTTATTTTGCTAATTTTCCTAACCTTGATCCATTATCAGCCTTTAGCAACACAGAGCTCAATAGTAGAATATGTAGGTAGCTCAGCATAAATTCATTACCAGAATTTGAGGGAGATTCACATTATATTTCTGATAACAGTTTCAGAAGAGTCATCTCTGTATATAAAAATATAGTTTAAAAACTGAAAACAGAATCATTTCTAAAAATTGCAAATTAGCTGAAGTTAAATTTCTTTTAACAGTACCTTATTATGCTATGATAGGCTTACATTCACTTTTCTATATTAAATTACTCATAATAAAATACAACTTAAAATTATATTTTTAAATTGTTGACTCAGTTATCAAACTTCGTTATGTGTGTATACATTATGTGGTATTTTAAGAGAAAGTAAAATTAAGAACATTTTTTTCTCAGATTTTTTTCAAGTCAATCACCATAGTGTAAAAAAAAGAAATAAATAAATAAAAGATGTTTCCCCATAGAAAATTAAAATACACATCTGAGAAATTAGAATGATATCAAATAACAAAATACAGCTGATAGTTTCCTTAAGTAGCCAAAAATTAGGAAACAAGTGCCTAATGCATATGTGAACAAGCTGGAAAATAGACATTTTGATTTTTAATCTGCTTCCTCTACCGTTCAGCAAGATCGTGAAAATAAAACGTTGAGTCAATTTATGATTTAAAAATTCAGTAAACTGAACTGAATTGTTACAAAAGGATCATTTTTAAAATGGAGACCTCGGATGGTAATTAGTCAGTTTTCAACATTAAATAAAATTTTTGAATGCATAATTGTAGAAAACAGATTTAGAGACAAATTGTAGGTTTACTTTTACCTATGACTTTTTCCAACATTGGAGAAATCCACATCTAACTTGTTGTAAGATCATATATCAAAACTGTTTAAAATAAGGGTGCACCATAAAAAACTGTTAAATGCAATAAGTATATTCTATCAATCATACATATGAGGACATTATTAGAATATCTTATCTTTAAAATTAGAAAGCAAGTTAAAGTGAAAGTGACATTTCTGAAAATATACTCAAAAATAAAGCTTTAATAATGCAAGTAGAAATAGGCTAGTTTATATTGGTAGAGTCTATAAATACAAAGTTCAGAAAAGACAAAAGTAATAAATAGTTACATATGAAAATATATTTTATCACCTTCACAAGAAAATGTAATGCTAAATTTCAGCACATAGTGTAATTTAATACATGTATTTTTTCCCTTCTGTAGATTATGACATGTAAATGCCCCTATTTAATTTCCAAGTTAATCTTTAGAACACATATCCCATTTACCTGTATTATTACACTCATGTATCTGTGTCACCTTACACAATTACATCAGGAAATTCTGTTTTAAGACTGGTCAGGATTTGGGGGTAGGCAAAGTGGTCTCTCCTTTCAGGAAACTTTACACCCATAAACCAAGTAGTACTAAATTAAAGAGGCTCATAAGGCAGTCCCCATTATTTAAAAATTGGTTTGCACTGTCTATCTTGGAAAGTTGCTTCATTCCTCTGACTGTCTTTTTTTTTTTATGTGAAGACACACAGCTACACTTGTACTTTTAACCAGAGTGCACTTTCAGATTAAAGTAGACTTTGTGGATAGAGCTTGCATATGCATATTTTTACTTTTTTTTTTTATGTGAAGACACACAGCTACACTTGTACTTTTAACCAGAGTGCACTTTCAAATTAAAGTAGACTTTGTGGATAGAGCTTGCATATGCATATTTTTTAAATATTTATATTTATAAATAAACATAATTCACAATCCCTGCCTAGTAGACACCAAACTAGATGGGTTATAAGAGCTTACCCATCCTTAAAATTCTATAGAACTGAGTCAAAGATTAAAGAAACAAATGGAACAATTTTATTTGCCAAGGCTTATGATACAATTGGTAAACAATTTTTATACCCACAAAATATTTTATTTATGAAGTAAGTAAATTCATCTGCATGCATAAATACTAAATTTTACTCATGAGCACTGAGTTAGGATCTAAGGGTTATAAGTTTTAATTCTGTTTTTTGCACTAAATGTGCTAGTTTGATATCTCACAGTATCATTTAATTTATGTATTACTTGTGCACTTATTCACTTACTATTGCTTATAAAAGTGGAAAATATCATACATCTATCGTACAGAATCAAGACAAGTTAGGCAAATTAATTGAAAAATGTTGAAAATTACAAAAGTGATATATTATATGTTACTATGACTGGATTATATACAAGTATACAACATGACTATTCATCTTAGGCTTTCTTCCAAATTAAATGCTTATGGTCTCAGTTTTTCTCTTAAAAATGAAGACGATTACATGGTACTGGCATAAAAACGGACACATAAACCAATTGAACAGATTAGAGAATCCAGAAATAAATCCACACACAGCCAACCGATGTTCAACAAAAGTGCCAAAAACATATGCTAGCTCTTGCTGGAGATGGCTATTCTTTTTTCTTATACTCGGTTTAATTATTTGCTGTAATTAATGTGCGCCCATCCAACAGAACAGCGCCTAAGGTAGTTGTATCAGGCACACTTTCATACAATATGCCAATGCTTTGCCTCTTGAGAACTTACTATAATCTGAGATTGTTCTGTAGTTCTTCACTTTTGTTGAAGTACCTTATTTGTGTGTTGTGGCTTTGCTCTTAATCTTTTCAGTTTTTGTCCTTTATAAGATTTTCTCCCAGAAGGTGCTCTTTATAAGCATTCATAATGAAAACACTTTGACCCAAGTTGGTTTTTCTTTAAATTTTTTTTGGTGGCTGGTCGGTATGGAGATCTAAACCCTTGACCTTGGTGTTAATAACACCACACTCTAATCAACTGAACTAACTGGCCAGGCCTGTTTCTTTGTCTTCTGATGTGATGATTTTTAGACTAAGGTTGGGAAATCCTTCTGATCACTGTCCTGTTTCCTTATTTTTCCCTCTCACTTACCCATTCCTCGCTAACACAGGAAGTCTGTCTAGCAGTCCAGAGGAGATGTCTGGAGCTGAAGAGGGGAGGGAAACATCCTCAGGCATTGAAGTGGAGGCCTCAGACCTGAGTTTGAGTTTGACTGGGGATGATGGTGGCCCTAACCGCACCAGCACAGAAAGTCGAGGAACAGACACAGAGAGCTCAGGTGAAGACAAGGACTCTGACAGCATGGAGGACACTGGCCACTACTCCATCAATGATGAAAATCGAGTCCATGACCGCTCAGAAGAAGAGGAGGCAGAGGATGACGAAGAAGAGCAGCCTCGACACCGTGTACAGTGCAAGCGGGCCAACCATGACCAGGACTCATCAGATGATGAGCGGGCCCTAGAGAACTGGGTGTCCTCGGAGACATCAGCCCTGCCCCGACCTCGCTGGCAAGCCCTTCTTGCCCTTCGGGAGCGGGAGCTGGGTTCAAGTGCCCGCTTTGTATATGAGGCCTGTGGGGCAAGAGTTTTTGTACAGCGTTTCCGTCTGCAGCATGGGCTCGAGGGCCATACCGGTTGTGTCAATACCCTGCACTTTAACCAGCGTGGCACCTGGCTGGCCAGTGGCAGCGATGATCTGAAGGTGGTGGTGTGGGATTGGGTGCGGCGGCAGCCGGTACTGGACTTTGAGAGCGGCCACAAAAGTAATGTCTTCCAGGTGAGGCAAGGGAGTGTAATAGCAACTGAGAGAATCAGGCACAAGTTAGACAAATCTGAGCTGCTGCCTAGAATGGGAGTTTGTAGTGAGTTGTGATAAGAATTAGACATCAGGACTTAGCCCCACCTTGGCTCCTATAATGACTGAAAGAAACTGAAAGACCCATGGCAACCTTTTGTTTTCTTGAGCATAAGACTGTTGGGAACTTCATTATGTAGGGTGCTTGGAATTTATCAGAAAGGTATTAAATGTGCTAATAGGAGGAAGTATAGTATTAGAGCACAGGCTCTTGAACCAGACTGCCTGGGGTCAAATCCTGGCCCTTCCACTTACTAGCCATGTGATCTTGGGCAAGTTATTTAACCTTCATCTTTATTTTATCTATCTGTAAAATGGGACTAATAACACATAAGGTTATGAGGATTAAATAATAATTGAAGCTAAGCAGTTAGAACCATGGCTGGGTACTTAATAAACATTTGATAAATATTAGCTAATATTGTTATTATTTCATTGAGATTTTACTCCTCAGCCACATTTACTGTATTAGTACTAGCCATTTATCCCTAAGTATGTTCTCTTTCCTTCCCCAATATTTCCCCTAATTTCCTTTTTCTTTGTGGCAAATTTATGTTTGCTTCCTGAATCAAGATAAATTTTCCTCCTTTATTCCTTACTTTTCTCCCCTACTAGGTACAATCCTAGTTCACTGGAGCACTTATCACGTGTCAGTTCAACCTTCCAGAGCCAACTGAAGTACTTTCTGATATCACAGGAAGTTTTTTCTTTCCTCTTCCTTTAACTCCCAGAAGAAATTGGGCTTAGCTAGCTGTACAAGAGCGGGAAAGCTAAGTTTCCAGCTGTCATAAAAGAAAAGGGGATAAATTGGGGTCATCATCATGTTTTTCCCTCTCAAATTCACCTCTTCAATTTCTTTTGTGTGTCCCTTTTTTCATTCTTAACAAACCAGGCCAAGTTTCTTCCTAACAGTGGTGATTCCACCCTGGCCATGTGTGCCCGTGATGGGCAGGTTCGGGTAGCAGAACTGTCTGCCACACAGTGCTGCAAGAATACAAAGCGTGTGGCCCAGCACAAGGGAGCGTCCCACAAGGTAAGTAAGCCCTTGCTGCAAAGTTCATGCAATCCAGATCCTCTGTGGATCTCAGCTAAGGTCCTCCCTTATCTCTGCCCATTGTGTCCCCTTTGTTGTTTCCTATCTCATCTCTTTCAGTCCTTAGATTTGTAGTTAAGAAGGACAGAAAAGCAGCCATCCTAAACTTCTTAGTAGGCAAGTATTTGAGAGATCCTTTGATCATGCACTTGAAGCATTCGGTTGATCATGCACTTGTTGCATTCAGTTGGTTTGGAGATCCTCGAGGTCTCCTGTGCCTTCCAAACCTCTTAAGTTTGCTCTGATTGTTTTTAGGAATTTAACAGTTCTAAGGTGCTAGTTGTTGGTTCCTCATATGTGAGAGCTTCACCTTTTCTGCTCACAACTCTTAGCTCACAAACAGCACTATTTCTCGTGTGTGTGTGTGTGTGTGTGGTCGTTTTTGGTGGTTGGCTGATATGGGGACCCAAACCCTTGACCTTGGTATTATCAACACTGTGCCCTAACCAACTAAGCTAACTGGCCAGCCAGCACTATTTCTGAAGCCCTATTTAGAGCTGGCGATATAGGCCAAAATACTCATGGTGGCAGTCAGCGAGGAGCTAAGAGGTGCCCAGTCTCAGGGTAAGTAGGCATGGTATTCTTTGCCTTGGAAAGAGGACGGTACTCTCTTACAAACCCTAATTAAATATGTTGGTGGACCTGGAGTATCCTTTTCTAGCCCACATGGCTCAGAAAATGCAAAAATTCCGTATTTCTTTGATTCTTAAGCCTACCTCCAACCCACTGATAACTAATTTTTAGAACTAAGATATAGGGAATGAAACTTGGGCACCATTTCTCTTTACACTTGAGGATGTGGACTTGATTTTCTTTCAGAATGAACTCTAAAATGGCTGTTTTCCTTTGGTATCTCTGTTTACATCCCTTGATGACTTAGCCGAAATAGTCAATCACCTATTCTTTAGACTTGCGTAGACAAACTGTAAATAATTTACACAAAACAAGAGTGACTAGGCTTAAATTTTCTCCTTTCCTGGGATTTTACAATAAAAAAGGTAGACATTTCTCTTGCTGAGACATTTGAAATGCAGCCCTTCCAAAAGGTAAAGGAATGAACTGGATGACCTCTAATTCTTATGTTTAGAAACCTCATTCTTTCCCTTTTTCTCTTTCAGTTGGCTCTGGAACCAGACTCTCCCTGTACCTTCCTATCTGCAGGTGAAGATGCAGTTGTCTTCACTATTGACCTGAGACAGGACCGGCCAGCTTCGTAAGTATAGCAGTAATATCTTTACAGAACTGTACCCCTTTGCTTTGAAAATATTCAGTGTGTCCTGTTAATGCTTATCTCCCTGGTCCATTAGAATAATACCTTAGTTCCTATGATAAGAGGTAGTTTAAGGTTTAGGGGAATTTCTTACTTCCTCTGTCTGTTTCTTGGCACTGAAATACTGTGCAGTCTACCTTCATGTCTCAAACAAGGTTTAGCTATCTCATTATATATGGACTTCAATACTCTATGATCATCTGCTCTCCATTCACTTGGGTCCATTCAACTTACCCATAAGAAGCACATTACTCTATAAACTAGCATAGAGATATGATCCTGTAAGTTTTTTATTCAGTTACATATAGGAACATGCAAACAATTAAATGATAAATCTTGAACAAAAATATTGGTAGCTATAGTGAAGCTCTGTCATATCATAGCTAATTTGTACATGCATTTGAGACTCATGAGTAAATTATATCCCTTTTTAACTGTGTGATATCATAGAAAGAAAACAATATCTTGCTTGGATCTAGACAGATCTAGATCAGATCTCAACTCAGGCACTACTAGTTATTATCTGTGTAACCTTCTGAACCTGGGTTTCTTCAGCCTGACTGTGGGCATAATATCTCCCTCCCTTCCTTCTTCCCTCTCTATGAGTTTCTGTGAGTATTACTAATATATGTATTTGAAGGCCCAGCATAGTGTCTAGCACCATGGCTGGAATTGATTAAGTCGTACCTACAATTAAAATTATTTGAGTTTCCTTTTTTATTTTTATTGCTCTTATAATAAGTAAATACATCTTGTTTAAGAGATTCAAGTAATAAAGTATATGGACAAAATGTAAATAATGCTCCCTCATGTATCCACTCTCCTTATTGTTCTAACTATTGATAACCATTATTAATAATTTTGAATACTTTCCCAGTCCTTGTACCTAAATGTATACATATACACCTTTCCCCATAAGTGGGATAATTATATATAATTATAAGCATGCATATTTTTCTTGTTATAATGTTTTTCAGAGATCTTTCTGTGTCAGGCCATAGGAGCCTACCTCTTTTTTTTTTTTTTTTTTTATGGCTGGCCTTTATGGGGATCTGAACCTTTGACCCTGGTGTTACCTGCTCCATGCTGTAACCAAGTGAGCTAATCAGCCAGCCCCCTACCTCATTTTTAACCACGGCATACAAGGGGTCTTCAAAAAGTTCATGGAAAGATTCCTATTATCTTTCAATTCCATTTTTCCGTGAACTTTTTGAAGACCCTTCATATATGTCGTAGCACTGGTGTACCACAGTTTATTCAACCACTACCTTGTTGGTGGATATCTAGATTTATTGTCTTGTTAGTCTTAAAAATTATCATAACACGTCTTGTAAATCAGTACCAGTATTGAGTAAGGAATATCAGTGATTTACATAGGATACAAGTGAATATAAATAAGTTTAGGGAATATAATCTGAAGGCTGATTATTATCAGACTTATTTTTAGAGCGATAAGTCTAGAAAAAGTCATCTAGAAAGTGAAAGCATTTCAACAACTGCTTAAATGATGGAAAGGTTTAGGCTGGGGAAAACATATACTGGTTGTTTATGTAACCTTCAAAATGATGAAGGTTGAGAGATGATCGGTTTATGCTGGAAGGGGAATAAGCCTGAGTAAGAAGGGTGCTGCCTTCTAGTACTAGCTCTGCATTTATCTAGCTTGGAGAAAATTTTTTGATCTCTTGAACTGAATGATGATTTTCATTTTCAGTTTTTAAAGTTCCAGGGTTTGGGGGCCGGCCTGTGGCTCACTCGGGAGAGTGCGGTGCTGATAACACCAAGGCCACGGGTTCGGATCCCATATAGGGATGGCCGGTTTGCTCACTGGGTGAGCGTGGTGCTGACAACACCAAGTCAAGGGTTAAGATCCCCTTACCGGTCATCTTTTTAAAAAAATAAAAAAAAAATAAAGTTCCAGGGTTCTGTGATGGTAGTGGATCATTAATAAATTTGGGGGTGGGGAGGCAAAGATGCAAGAAGTAGTAGTGAGTTTGATCTGCTGTGTTAGAGAGTTGCAAAACAGAGTGAAACCTTATCCTGTAGATCAGATTCAGAGCGAAATTACTATCAGGCCACAAGGAATTGGGAATCTGGCTCAAGTAATGGGTAGAGCACATGACTTTGGAATGAAATGATGTAGGCAGAAAATGTGGCTGAGTTGATCATGTATCTAAATAGATGCAAGCAATGATAGGTGGGATAGAAACCTATCACTGGGATAGGAACATCAGAGAAACAGAGGGAGGAACGTCAGAAAAACTTAGAGAGTAGAAGGAAGCCCACGTTTTTGATTTGGAGAATAAGAGACAGTGAGCCTTCAAAATGGTTTTTGCTTTTTAGGGATTTGGAGAAGTAGTGTTAAAGGCTGAAATGGGGTGGAGAGCTGTATGCGAAGGTCAGGGCCAGAAGATCCAAGTTATCTGTAAGCGGTGTCTGAACATTCGCTTTTATCAGAGGCATTTTTGTGTGAAGCTAGTACGGGGGGTGGGGGGGGTCCTTTGCATCTATCTGATAGCTGAATCTTTGGTGAAATAGGCTAACGTCTTAGGAAAAGATTTGGATTTGGAATGGTGGGTGGGATATCCTTTTAGCCAGTAGAAGTCAGTTTGCGGTATTCTTCAAAGGAATCCTTTGGTGTAATCTGTAATTTTCTCTTTTTGCTAGTACACTCTTGCACATTAATTTTAAGTCAAATTTTGGTGAATATGTTCCATATAGTTTCACAAGCTGCCTCCCTCTGATGTAAATTTTTTTTTTCCTGTTGCCATAATTCATCCTTTTTTTGGTACCTCTAAGTTCCCCAAAGAGCTCAAGGCACTCTGTGCGTTAATCCATTGGGAGAGAGAATTATTTGTTTTAGGGGAATAATTTGATGGGTTTTAAGTGACATTTTTCTGGAATCTGGGAGATAGACTTTGACCTTAAGGTCTTTTTTTAGCTCATTATTTCTGTGATTCTTCCTCTACCCCTCTCCTTGTTCCCAAGTGATTGGGAAGATGTATATAAATAAAGAATGGCAAGGTATGGGTAGTATTGTTTAACACCTGGTTGTTAACTGCGTTGGACTGCAGCTAAACTGAGGCTTCCTGAAGAGCAATACATTCATTTACCTTTGGCTTGTACTTCTTAAGAAACACTAGAAAATGACTTCACTGCATGTTTTTTTTCCAATCCCCAAAGTAGCATATAGTAAGTGTATATGCTTTTTCTTGTTCCAGTTGTTCAAAACAAACACTTCTTTTTTCTTTCCAAATGAGAACCTGTTTTGTTTCTTATTCATGTCTGTATTACTGTCTTGACTCTCACTTGCCATGACCACCTGGATCTTTTGGAGAGTATAACTTTGTATGCTTTTCTACCCTTAAAGGAAACTGGTAGTGACAAAAGAAAAAGAAAAGAAAGTGGGGCTGTATACAATCTTTGTGAATCCTGCCAACACTCACCAGTTTGCAGTGGGTGGACGAGATCAGTTTGTAAGGTAAGTGTGTGGCTCTTTTGTGACTTTGAGAGTTTGAGACTCTGATGCATTGTATATTACTAGGTGCTCCCTTACAGAGAGGTATGAATTGTCTAGGAATCCATTAACCACCAAAAATTCAAAAAAACCACGTTTTGAATTTTTTATTATCTTCCAGAAAGTTGAAGCACCTTCTGAGGTGTTCTCTTCCCTAACGTAACAATCTCTGAGGGGTGGCTTTACATATTGTAGAGATTATCAAGTTTTTAAAAAATTTGATGAATTGGCCAAGGTCCCCACACAGCAGCTAAGGCATAAACCCCACGTTTACCAGCAAGTGCCGTATTAGTAAATATCTTCCATCATTTCCAAATATAAATTACTATGCACTAGAAATTTTGAGTACTGGTTTTGGATTCAGAAATAGTTTGATTTGGGAGCACTCAGTGTGAACTGAGTGTTTTGGGCTCTCACTGTCTTGAACCACTTTTCTTTTTCCATGGTGATGTTGTTACTGTGAACATCTGTTGTAACACTGGCTGTTGAGGCATGTCTTAAGGAAAACAGATACAAATTCAATTCCCGAATGTACCAGTTAATTTCTTTCTGACCCTTAGTCATAAACTATTCACCCATATTTGTTTGGCTTATTTTAGCTATATTTCTTTTTTTTTTTTCTTTTTGTCTTTTTTCGTGTCTGGCAACGGATCACAACCCTCAGTGTTGCGCCCGGACCGGGACCGGCAACGGGATCGCAACCCTCGGTGTTGCGGCCGCACCTCGCTCAGCCAGTGAGCGGGAACCGGTCTGTATGTGGGATCCGAACCCTCGGCGGGAGCGCTGGCATGCTCCCAAGCAGCGCACTGTAGCAGTGCGCCACCGGGCCGGCCCTTTAGCTATATTTCTTAGGGATCATCAGTGTGAAAGAGAGGAGGGGCAGGAATCACTAGAAAAATGAATGACTTTCTGCTTTCCTGATGGTGGGTGAAAAGTATCCTCTTCCCTTTGAAATAAGAGCACATTTTTATAACCGTATA